TGTGATTTTTTTTAAAATTGGTTCAATATCAATTGGTGTATGGCAATGATATGCAAAAATGGTTTCATATTTATGCCTTCAAATGGGGTAATTTAAAAATTCACAGGTGTTGATTTGAAGCTTCTAGAGGCGTTGATTTTTTTAAACATATTTTTTAAAGAAGCCTCCAGAGGCGTGGATTTTTTAAACATATTTTTTAAAGATGCCTCCAGAGGCGTGAATTTTTTTAAAATATTTTTTAAAGAAGCTTCCAGAGGCGTGGATTTTTTAAACATATTTTTTAAAGAAGCCTCCAGAGGCCTGGATTTTTTAAAAATATTTTTTAAAGAAGCCTCCAGAGGCGTGGATTTTTTAAACAAATTTTTTAAAGAAGATTCCAGAGGCGTGGATTTTTAAACATATTTTTTAAAGAAGCTACCAGAGGCGTGGATTTTTTAAACATATTTTTTAAAGAAGCCTCCAGAGGCGTGGATTTTTTAAACATATTTTTTAAAGAAGCTTCCAGAGGCGTGGATTTTTTAAACATATTTTTTAAAGAAGCCTCCAGAGGCGTGGATTTTTTAAACATATTTTTTAAAGAAGCCTCCAGAGGCGTGGATTTTTTAAACATATTTTTTAAAGAAGCCTCCAGAGGCGTGGAGTTTTTAGACATATTTTTGAAAGAAGCCTCCAGAGGCATGCATTTTTTAAACAAATTTTTAAAGAAGCCTCCAGAGGATGGAGGATTTTTTAAACATATTTTTTAAAGAAGATTCCAGAGACGTGGATTTTAAACCAATTTTTTAAAAAAGCTTCCAGAGGCCAGGATTTTTTAAACATATTTTTTAAAGAAGCTTTCAGAGGCGTAGATTTTTTAAACATATTCTTCAAAGAAGCTTCCAGAGGCGTGAATTTTTTAAAGAAGCTTCCAGAGGCGTGGATTTTTTAAACAAATTTTTGAGAAACTTCCAGAGGCGTGAATTTTTTTAACATATTTTTTAAAGAAGCTTCCAGAGGCGTGGATTTTTTAAACAAATTTTTTAAAGAAGCCTCCAGAGGCGTGGATTTTTTAAACAAATTTTTGAGAAACTTCCAGAGGCGTGAATTTTTTTAACATATTTTTTTAAAGAAGCCTCCAGAGGCGTGGATTTTTTAAACAAATTTTTAAAGAAGCCTCCAGAGGCGTGGATTTTTTAAACAAATTTTTAAAGAAGCTTCCAGGGGCGTGGATTTTTTGAAGAAACTTCCAGTGGCGTGGATTTTTTAAAAAAAAAATTTTAAGAAGCTTCCAGGGGCGTGGATTTTTTGAAGAAACTTCCAGTGGCGTGGATTTTTTAAACAAATTTTTTAAAGAAGCTTCCAGAGGCCTGGATTTTTTAAACATATTTTTTTAAAGAAGCATCCAGTGGTGTGGATTTTTATACCCTTTTGTATACCTTTCACTACACTGTGGTACATGGTATTATGTCTTTGTTCATATGTTTGTAACAGGCAAAAATTGTCGAGATAGATCCATGGTTCCTTTTGAGAATATGCATGTCCGTCCGTCCGTTTGTACTTGTTATATTGTAAACAAAATACAGGTCGCATTTATGATCAGAATTGGATGAAATTTCGCGTAGCTCATTCGTTTGGCCCAAGGACGAACCCTATTGAAATTGGGAAAAATCGGTTCAGATTTAGATATAGCTCCCATATATATATATATACATATATATATTTTCGTCCGATTTAAGGTAAATGGTGTACCAAAAAGTCCCTATATATCTTTCGATTTGGCACAGCGTAATGAATAACGTCTAGAATGATGTCTGCCAAGTTTGGTGAAAATCGGTTCAGATTTAGATATAGCTCCCATATATATCTTTCGATTTGCACGATATTTGGCATATCGTACTGAATTGCGTCTATAATAATGTGTGCAAAGTTTCCTGAAAATCGGTTCATTTAGATATAGCTTCCATATATAGTTTTATCCGATTTAAGGTAATTGGTGCACCAAAGACATATATCTTTCGATTTGCACGAAACTTGGCATAGCATACTGAATTAAGTCTAGAATGGTGTGTGCAAAGTTTCGTGAAAAGCACGAAATTTGGCAAAGCGTACTAAATTCGGTCTAAAATGATGTGTGCAAAGTTTCGTGAAAATCGGTTCAGATTTAGATATAGCTCCCATATATATTTTCATCAGTTTTTAGGTAATTGGTGCACCAAAGTCTCTGAAAATCATTTGATTTGCACGAAATTTGTCATAGCGTACTGAATTAAGGCTAGAATGACGTGTGCTAAGTTTTGTGAAAATCGGTTCAGATTTGGATATAGATCCCAAATATATTTTCGTCCGATTTAAGGTAATTGTTGCACCCAAGACCCTATATGTCTTTCGATTTGCTTGAATTTTGGTATAGGGTACTGAATTAAGTCTAGAATGACGTGTGCTATGTTTCGTAAAAATCGTTTCAGATTTAGATATAGCTCCCATATATATTTTCGTCCGATTTAAGGTAATTGGTGCACCAAAGTCCCTATATATCTTTCGATTTGCACGAATTTCGGCATAGCGTACTACATTAAGTCTAGAATGATGTCTGCCAAGTTTCGTGAAAATCGGTTCAGATTTAGATATAGCTCCCATATATAACTTCGCCCGATTTTAGGTAAATTGTCCACTAAAGTCTCTGTAAATCTTTTGATTTGCGCGAATTTTGGTATAGCGTACTGAATTAAGTCTAAAATGATGTGTGCAAAGTTTCGTGACGATAGGTTCAGATTTAGATATAGCTCCCATATATATTTTCGTCCGATTTAAGGTAAATGGTGTACCAAAGTCAGTATATATCTTTCGATTTGCACGAAATTTCGGCATAGCGCACAGAAGTAAGTTTAAAATGATGTCTGCCAAGTTTCGTGAACATCGGTTATATGCCTTTCGATTTGCACGAAATTTGACATAGCGTACTGAATTGCGTTTATAATAATGTGTGCTAAGTTTCGTGAAAATCGGTTCAGATTTAGATATAGCTCCCATATATATTTTCGTGCGATTTAAGGTAAATGGTGCACCAAAGACCCTATATATCTTTCGATTTGCACGAAATTGGTCATAGCGTACTGAATTAAGGCTAGAATGACGTGTGCTAAATTTCGTGAATATCGGTTCAGATTTAGATATAGCTCCCATATATATTTTCGTCCGATTTTATGTAATTGGTGTACCAAAGTTCCTATATATCTTGCGATTTGTACGAATTTTGGTATAGGGTACTGAATTAAGTCTTCGTGAAAAGATCCATAGCTAGGCCGATTGACACAACGTATTGAAGTAATATAAATTAGTCTCTTGCAAGTTTCCCTGAAATCGGTTCAGATATAGATATATAACAAAAATGCGTCATCTGTTAGGATACATATGTAGAATATACCCAATGTGGTGAAGGGTATCATATAGTCGGCCCAGTCCGATTTTACTACTTTCCTTACAGGTTTATATTATTTTATATATTTTCTAAAGTTTTTTTTTATATTCAGTCCTATCAGATGCTCCTCCATACCTTCCATAGGGTACATTTATCTTCATTTTCTAATGCCTCGTAGAAGATCGTTATCTGTTATTACTTATTGTTGTTTGTGTATTGTTTCACCTCTCCATGATAGATAAAATGTCCGACCTATCATCATCGTCATCGGTTATTTTGACAAATGTTGGGTTAGGTGATACTTCAGTGGAGATCTTTTTCAAGATACTTAAGTAGTGGTGTTAAGGGCCCATCATGCTCTTGAACTTGACAATACAATACTTTGTGTCATGTTTGAAGTGTGTTTATCGAAGCGCAACACGATTCGTATGTGTGTGTGTATACGGACAGTGTGGCGTATACGTGTTGTTAATTAATAAACAACTGTTCTTTTTTTGTGGCTTGATATGCATACAAACGTACACATACATACAAACACATGTTTGTAGATTATGGTTTGTTTTGAAAAAAATACATAATTAATAATTATTAAAGGTTGGGGGAGAAGAAGAGAGAGAATAATGGGTGATCCCTTGTGCCAAAAACAAAAGAGAGAGTTGTTGACAGATGCCAAGAAGAAAGCATTTCCGTCTTGAGAGTAGGCTTTCAACACCCATACACATGTGTGAGTGATCTTAGCACAACTACCGTCATAGAATGAAGATAACACCGCACCGAAAGAGAAAAAACCGTGTCATATCAGAAAATACAGCAGCAGCGGGAACAGCACCCACCACTCGTAGTCATCCCCCGAACCCAAAAACCAAAACAAACGAAATCTAGAGTCAATATTCCGGTGTCGTTGGTCTATCTCCCAGGTCTGTTGTATTTTTTACATTTGTGTGTGTGTGTGTTAATACACACCAACCAAGAAAAAAAAAACAAAAAATGATATTCTACGTAGTGGAACTTGGAGGCGCACGAACAAAGCTTCCTTATCAGTATCTTAAAACAATAAAAGTGATATAATGTGACAGACGAAGTTTTAGTTTGGAAAAGGTAGTCGCATTGCTAAGGTGAACTGGACGAAAAAAAAGAAAACGTTAAGAAATTCGGAATAAATTCAAAAGAAAAAAATTCCCCAAAACGCGTATGAAATAAAAACAAGGCACCAACAAAAAAAAAATATAAGATAATAAAAAATACAATTTACTTGAAATAATAATAACGGAAAAAAAGAACAAGAACAACAAGAGATATATAACGGGGAAATAATATTACAAAAAAAATATCAATTAAATTGTTTTCTAGAAGCCAAGTTATCAGGGAAACAAAAAAAAATTTTCAAAACAAAAAAAAATAAGTTCAGTGATTTTTATTAAAAATTTAATTGAAAACGAAAAAAAAGTGAAAAAAAAAAATTTTCAATGTCTTCCAAAATTTTGCAATAATTATTTTTTTTAAAGAATATTAAATATAAATATATTCAATATTCTAAATTGTGAAAAAATAGAAATAAAAATCAGCAACTTTCAATCCACGACACCCGCAGCCCCCAAAAATGACAAATTTATTTTATCAGATTTATACCAAAGTTATTTTAATCACTTTGGTCCTGACAATCTCACAAATGAACATGACGTAAGTAATGTTAATTCAAATAAATTAAATTGAAAAAATATATATTTTTAAATACATATATATATATATTTTTGTAATGAGGAGCTTTAAAAAAAAATATTTTTCTAGAGGCTACATCTTGTAGGTGTGGATTTAAAAGAATATATATTTTTTCAAAGAGCTAGCATAGATTTTGTTAAAAAATATTTGTAATTTTCCCCAGCCCCTGGGGAAAAATAAAAAAAATGGATTAAAAAAAATATATTTTCAAAGAGCCGCCACAGGCGTATATTTTTCAAGTACCTTTAGGTACTTTATTGTTTTAATTAATTGTTATTAATTTTAAACCAGTGAGTGGAGCAGTATAGTCGGACGGGGCCGACCACATTCTGCGGATGTTTATTCCGAGCCTGGACAATTACTTCCCTAGCTGGCTTGTTACAGAAAGGCTGTTCCATAAGCCGAGCTTAAAAAAGATTTCCAAGCGCGTCGGTCTTGTGCGCAAGTCCACCAATGTGGAAGACCACGTTCCAAGATGTTGGTTTCTACTTGGTCTCGGCTTTCAATTGTGGCCTATAGATCAACTCGAAAAACACCAAAAGTTAAGTTTTCGATGTACTTCATACCAATATTATGATCTGATCAACGCCATAAATTATAGGCAAGAATGTCCCTACAAAATTGCATGTGAAAATCTCAAGAAATCTTGAAGATATAGCCGATTTATTGTGTCAGCATCAAATGACGGCTAAAGGGCTTCTCAAACTTTAAACGCGTTTTTCTCTTTTGCGAATGGCGGGCACGATAACTCAAAAACTAATAACCCAATCGATTCCAAATTTTTACACGTCTCTCTGTGAGTGTATAGCTATCGTATGAACTAGGATAACGCCAATCGATGAAGATCTTCCTTATTTTTTAACTTGGTTTATGGTCAAAAATCGGCGATTTTGCAAAAATATTTTTTCAAAGGTCCGCCATTTTGTTAATTTTAGAGCGAAGTCAATAATCCTAGTTCATACCAGAGACAGACATGTACTCTTTCTAACACCGTTGGAATTTTCGGATTCCGATGTTCCAGTGAGGAGTTATCATGCCCGCCATCAAAAATAAGCACTTTTCTTTAATTACAAAAAACAACAACAAAACAATAACAAAAATTTTTTGTAAATTATTTTTCTTCTCTATTAAATCTTCAAATATATATGTGCAAAGTTACAAACCTTAACAAGCATTGGTATTGATTTACCAGCCCATTGAAAATCTTGAAAAATAAAAATCGCGAATGGGCGGGGTTCCCTTAAAGGTCAACCACCCCTCTTGGACTAAATATATATGCATCAGGACTAAATATATATGCCATAGAATACAAATTTTGTCATTTTTCACACAAAAGTATGGGTCCATTTGACCCGCTAAATATTAACCGATCTTTATCAAAACAGGCTTGCTTATTCTTTGGCCCGATCCCCTTCTCCATGCAAAAATTCGCAATGTTTAGGCCATAATTGCGGCCTCTGGAGCGACCAGAAAATCACACAAAAATAAAGTTTTTGGTCCAAAAACTGAGATTTCTTTCTTCTATGCGTTTTTTTCTTATATGGAATTATCGGATATAAGAAAGTATAAGCTCGGTGTTTTTGATAATCTTTCTTATATGAGATGTGCTTATATCCGATATCTACTATACTTAAAGGTGGGTCTAGGACCAATATTTCGCGGCGTTTCAAACTTTTGGAGCTGCAGAAAGCAATAATACCCTACTTTGTGCACAGAAAGTTAGATTGACGTTGAATTTGTGTAGGGTATCATATGATCGGCCCCGTCCGACTATACTGTTTATTTATTTTTCCTGGTTTTTATTTATTTTTCCTCATAAATAACGAATAAACAAACAAAAAAATTATGGTATTAATTTCGTATTTAATTAAACAAATAATAATTTAAAAATTAATTAATTGCTGTGCAAATAAGTTGACGAAATATGTATTCGATCCAATCCACTTGTTAATATTCTGCTATGACAGAATGGTATATAATGGTATATACAGGGTGAAATGAAAAAACTGCAACCAACTTCAGACTGCTGTAATTTCCAAGCCACTCGTCCGAAAGCTGTTAACATTTTTCCAGTGACAGCTCATTATATTGTTTACAAGCGTACAAAAGCATTTTGGTAAGAATTTTCCTGAAAAAAGTTATTCGTGATCGAACAGAAAGAAAATAGATTGAAATGAGCTAAAGAGCATGACCGAAAGTGGTGAACTGCCGAATTTGGTTTTCTTCAATGAGAAAACATTCTTTGTCCAGCAGTTTGTCAACAAACAAAATGATCGTGTTGCCAAAGAGGTCAGCTGAAAATGTGAACTTTCGGTTGGTCACCAAAACTCAAGCGCCGGCCATGGTGATGGTGTGGGCCGCCATAACAGCCGATGGTAGTTCTTCGCTCGTATTAATCGAATATCACTCTTCGAATATCCCACTCTTCGCTCGTATTAATCGAATATCTTCAGAATAAATACTGAACATTATCGCGAAAATATTCTGGAGGGTGTATTAAAGCCTTGGGCACGCAAACATTTTGGCTGCAGACCGTGGATATTCCAACATGACCATCCTGAGTGCGATGGTGGACGCGCCACCCAAGAATGGTTACAAAATGAGGTTCCTCGCTTCATTTCCGCACAATGGCCTGCAACATCTCCTGATACCAATCCGTTGGACTATTGTGTCTGGAGTATTTTGGACAGCAAGGTTGGCACTAAAAAAATGCCAAAGTGTCGATCACCTCAAGCAAGCGCTTCGATGGGAATGGGCCAAAATACCGCAGAGCAACAATCGGGCAGCGTGTGATGGCTTTATTGGCCGTTTGAAGGCCATAATTCGCGCCAAAGGTGACCAATTCGAACAAATCTAAACTTATTCTAAAATTGAGGCTATTTCCGACATTTTTGATTTTATTTAATAAAATTAAAAAAAAAATTGTAAAAATTATGGCGCTTGACTTTGTTGCAGTTTTTTTTATCTCACCCTGTATATGAATATATGGTATATATATGAAAATTATTTTTTAAAAGGTGTGGATTTTTTTAAATAATTTTAAAATGGAGTTCTTTTTTATTTTTAAATATTTTTTCAAGTCGAGGATTTTTTTAAAATAATTTGTCAATATGTGGATTATTTAAAAATATGTTTTCAAGACTTGAATTCTAAAAAAAAATTTTAAGGTGTTGATTAAAAAACAATTTAAGGCGTGGATTAAAAAAAAAAACATTTTTGAAAACTTGAATTCTTTAAACATATTTTTTCAAGGCGTGATTTAAAAAAATATTTTTTCAAGACATGAATTTTGTAAAAATATTTATTCTAGTTTTGGATTTCAAAAATATGTTTTTAAGGGGTGGATGCTTTAAGGCGGGATTTAAAAATTATTGTTTTTAAGGCGTGGATTTAAAAAAACAATATTTTTAAGGTGTGGATTAAAAAAATATATATTTTTTAAATTTTCAGTATTTTGGGGATTTTGATCGTATTTTTACACCGAATTGGCGGTAATTTAGTATTTTGAGTTATTAATAGGTAACAAATCTCTCCACAAAAAATTATAAATATAGGTCAATTTTTTCGGATAGACCCCATATAAGGGTACCCCCAATTTTCGGTCTTTTTGGATTCTTGAGCGAATACGCTAACATTTGGTACACTGAGTCCTTATTGGGTACTAAATGTCACCACAAAAAATTATAAATATAGGTTCACTTCTTCTGGTAGCCCCCATATAGCGGTACCTCCCAATTTTCAGTATTTTTGGGGGTTTTGATCGTATTTGAGTTCTTAATAGTTCTTTACAAATCTCTCCACAAAAATTATAAATATAGGTCCATTTTTTTAGATAGCCCCCATATAAGGGTACCCCCAATTTTCGGTATTTTGGGGTTCTTGAGCGCGTTTTTAACCGAATTCGCTGCAATTTGGTATTTTGTAATCGTATATGGTAAAAAATTTTCTTACCAAAAATTTTTAAAATGTGTCCCTTGTGTGTCTTTTGTGTCTTTTGTTCTTGTATTTTTGATTTTTGTTTCTAATAAGAAAAAAAACACCCAAATTGTCATGTTCAGTTCATTGTGCTGTACAAGACAATGGGGGGTTGGTTCTAAATGATATTTTTAGCTACAACCGAAATACAAAATTAAACATGAAGTTTCAAACAGAAGATAAGAGAATATTGTTTTATTGTCTGACATCGATATAGAACACTAAGGGATATAATTTTGGGAAATATATAAATATTTTTTTTTTTTGGGAAATTAGAAGGAACTTAAGAAAAAATTAAATTTAATTAAAACCAGTGAGCGGAGCAGTATAGTCGGACGGGGCCGACCATACGATACCCTACACAACTACCACGGAACTCAAATTTCTGCGGATGTTTATTCCGAGCCTGGGCAATATTTCGTGATATTGGCATCCTCTTGCCCGATTAGAGGTAAACAGCACACTGACATATTTTCCGAATATTACGAGTACTCAGTACAGCTATTGTCCAGATTCCCTTCACCGTGGGTTGTGTTGTGATGTTCGGCTTTCATTTGTGGCCTATATATCGACTCGAAAATAACACAAAAAATTAAGTTTTCGGTCCACTTCATTCCAAAATTATTATCTGATCATCACCGAAAATTGACCATAACTGGAACCTTAAGGAATATTTCAAAGCGATCAGCGCTATAGTTCCGCGCTCTAGAGTGATAATGGGTTACTAAATAATATACGGAGATACCTGTAAATATTTAGGTGTAACTCCCACATCCGAGCACTTACTACAATATAATTGGTATTAATTTAAAGGTCAACCACTCCTCTTGGATATAATATCAACTTCTCGGGTCTATGTCATTCAGGGGTAAATATATACACTATAGAATACAAATTTTGTCATTTTTCACACAAAAGTCAGGGTCCATTTGACCCGCTAATATTGACCAATCTTTATCAAAACAGGCATGCTTATTCTTTGGCCC